AAATTTAATTTAAATAAGGTAGCCTCTTGCTGATAGACGAAAATAAATAAATAAATAATGTACTATATGCCTCTATATGCTATATATAATTTAATCATTAATAATGACAGAAAATAGAGAAGCTTAAAAGAATATTTTAAAGAATATCAGTAGAATATTTAGCAAAACCTTAAGCCAATGAATATATGGACCAAGTCCAATAAATGTTAGGATTTATGTTATAGTTTTATTGATATAATAATTTAACTACTTTTTGTGCCAGAAAAAAAGGTTTTCTCCTGTTGTCTATAAACATGATTTTTTTTTGTCTTTTTTTAAAATGAGCTGTATTTTATATGTATTTTATAAAAGACAATGTTCTGTAATGAATTAATTAATTAAATTATATGGCTATTGTCATATAAATCAGACTATATTAATAAGCAGACTGAGGAGACTATGACTATTAAAGAAAAAAAACCACCCTAAATGTCTTGCATATCCAACTTTATAATTAATTCCTGATCTTCAGTATAGTTCAGTATTTATTTTAGAATGTAATTCTCAGTTGGCTTGATTAAAACTTCTTTAATGGATATGTTGGTCTATTTTCACTTTGGTTAACGGTTGTCTATGTTACCCACAATGCTGTTTGACTGTCTACTGATAGTGAGACTAGTGCAGCAGTGCTTTAGTCCTTCTGTCTGTTCAGCTCGCTCAAATGGTTCAGGTAACAACACTTCAATTTTCATGCTAATAGTGCCGTCCTCCATCAAAGCCATCATGCTTGACATCTCTTTGCTAAGTAGTTAATCCAAGCTGGTTAGTTTTGTTCAGAAAATGGTGCGTTGAGAGCAAAATCTTTAGCTCTTTTGTTTTTAGGAGCTAACAGTGAAACTGACCATTAGCAGTTATGTTTGAGATTTGCACTAGCAATGACGTCAGCAGGCAAACAACCACTAACATCGACCAAGGAATTAGGACCAGTATCACTAACACATCACAAATATTTCATTATAAACATATGTAATGTTTATAATGAAATATTTGTTTATAATGAAATAACGTTTCCTTTAAAATATATGTAAATTAATTTTTTTCCCTTGTTATCATTGTTGGTTAAATAATCTTTCTATAATTATTAGTCTTGCGAACATTTAGGGCTAAGTTCATGTTACTCTTATGGTAGAAGGTACAACGATGCAACTAATTATGGAAATAAAACTAGCTGCCCTGAACATTAAAACATTATTTACCAGCACTACTAATGACAAACAAGTCCTTATCCGGTTATCTTTAACCTTTATGTTCTATTCTACTGTATAAGGTGACTTGTTGACAATTTGACTTAAAATGGAACAATTAAAAATGATTTTAAAAAATTTGCTTTATGTTTCTAATTAACCTTCAGAATCAATTTTAAATAGTTAAACTCGTATTCTAGAGCTTATCCTTTTTCTTTTATTGCCTTTTATTTTATTGCTTTCCTCTCTGATTTGCACATTTGCCTGCTATTAGGAGGATTTCAATCATGTGAGGACATAAAAGACATATTTGGTAAAAATAAATACACATTACAACTGTACTGCCATAAAGCCAATAGATATGGGGCATCCATTGCTAGCTAGCGAATAGAACATGAGGCTTGAATTAACCTACAGATAAGTGATACGGTACTGGAAACATATATAGAAAGACATCTTCTTGAGGTTATACAGCTTTCTCCTGATGAGGGCCCAAGATATATTAAGGATGACAGTCATATCAGGCCATTTTGTGTGGCTGGAGTTCATACTTCCTTCTGTCATCATCGTGTGAGATGCCTGTGACTGATGACCGTGTGTTGATATTATACCACAGGAGCAAGGCCACAATCACAGAAGCCAGCTGATAAGAGATATAAATAAATTCAAAATTAGCACATGATTCTGCAGTTACTTAAATTCAGTACAGTGTTTTTTTTTTCTTCCTATACTAATATACTTGTCTCACCATAATAGTTGCTAAGGTAAAAACTATTCCAAACAGTATTCTCAACGTGTTCTTCACATGTCTCATTAAGATTGGGCTGCAATTCTGAGGAAGACAAGACAAAGTGAAACTTATGAATTCCTTCTTTTTACATATGGGGATGGAGTGAGAACCTGCCGAAGCACATTTAATCTCTTACCATCTTATGAACATAGCGAAATGGACTCTGAACTGTCATCGGGTCAGTGCCAGCGTTTTTGTTCAACTGCATAAAGAAAGCAGAGACATAGTCCTTGGTTCATCAACTGCAGTCCTGCACACTCAAACCCTAAACAGTCTGAAGTTTTCTCTACTGCTAATACATCTGATCCAATTAATTATCAAGTACTTCATAAGTTGTCAGAGAGAAATAGTCATTAATAGTCCTGAGAAAAATTAAAAACACGAAGAAGCCATTTCAAGTTTTTTAGATTCAAAATGTAAATATCTGATGTATCTTTAGCAATCTGTAACTGTAACGTTAATACATGCCTTACACATCCTGACAGTGTTAGAGTCATATATTTCCAGCCAAAATGTTGTTATACCACATATTTGTAACCTAAAAATATATAGAATGGGACATTTTGTAGTCTCATTACATGACATTTTGGGGTCTTACTTGCCCCTACAACCTGGCATTGCTAAATTTTAATGTGCCATGTGAAATCATACCTCGCTACTTCTATAATTTTGCGCATTGACAGTGACTTTTGCACATCTGGCTTCTTTGTCTGAGTAGTTTTGAGGACAGTCACATGAAGAAGGTATCTGATCTCTCCAGTCATTGTAATGTATCAGACCACAGCACTCAGCCTGTTAACAAAAAGGGAGACAGACACTGTTACTTAAACTTTACACTGAATAAAAATGGATAAGGGTTTAATAAATTGTTGTCTAACAGATTTGATCCAAATTAAGGAAATGAAAGAAAAAAAAAATCAAATCTATTAGATCATATAATCTCATCAGAACAGTTCGGATGAATATCTGAGACTGCAAAAGACTTCAGATGTTTTTATTTAGCAGTTTTATTAGCCAATCAGGTGGCAGCAGCGCAGTGAATAAAATCAAGCAGGTACAGGTCAAGAGTTTCAGTTAATGTTCAGATCAAAAATCAGCATGGGATAAAAATGTGATCTATGTGACTTTGACCGTGGGATGGTTGTTGGTGTGAAATGATGGTTTGAGTATTTCAGAAACTGCTGATCTCCTGGGATTTTCTCACTCAACAGTCTCTAGAGTTGAAACAGAATGGTGCAAAAACCAAACTCATCCACCAGTTCTGTGGGTGGAAGTGCCTTGTTGATGAGAGAGGACAGAGGAGACTGGCCAGTCTGGTTCAAATTGACGGGAAGGCTATGGTAACTCAAATAAGCACTCTTTACAACCGCAGTGAGCAGAAAAGCATCTCAGAATGCACAACATGTCAAGCCTTGAGGTAGATGAGTTACTGCAGCAGAAGACCACATCGGATTCCACTCCTGTCAGCCAAGAACAGGAATCTGAGGCTACAGTGGGTACAGGATCATCCAAACTGGAGAATTGAAGATTGGAAAAACATCACTTGGTCTGCTGAATCTTAATTTCTGCTGCAACATGCAGAATTCTGGAGGCAACAGCATGAATCCACATCAGTCTTCTGCTGTTGTAGCCCTTCCTCCTCAAGGTTCAGTGTGTTGTAAGTTGTGGGATGCTTTTCTGTTCACCACAGTTGTAAAGAGTGGTTACTTGAGTTACTGTAGTGTTCCTGACAACTCATGGTTTTTGTTTTTCACACCATTCTGTGTAAACTCTAGATACTGTTGTGTGTGTATGACAATCCCAGGAGATCAGAAATACTCGAACCAGCCAATCTGGCCCCACCGATGCCACAGTCAAAGTCACTGAGATTTCATTTTTCCCATTTCTGATGTTTAATGTTTGATGTGAACATTAACTGAAGCTCTTGACATGACTGGTTGATTGGATAATTGCATGAATGACCAAGTGTTCCTAATAAATTGGTTGGTGAGTGTATATATTAGAAAATATCAAAATTTCACCATGTGAAGGGTTTTCCTAGACCAGCACACATACTGTATGCTCTATTTAAACTTATGGCTTGAGCGCATTTGGCATCTTAAATTCAGATGATAAAAAGATAAAAACAACAGAATTAATACAGAATTAATACAGAAGTATTACCTCCTGTTGTAGTTTGTTGAGCTCGTGATGGAAAACTTTATCCGTATTATAAAGAGATGTCATGTTTGCAAAACTCTCTTCAATTTTCTTCTCTACCTGAGTAAACAATAGCAATACTCCATGAAGATAAGATGATAAGATATGACTGCTCTTGTTGTAAAGCAGTGAACATAAGTTTTGAAATTGAGTACCAGGAGCGTACCTGTGGCTGTGCGAGTATGGCTATGATTGTCAGGGCCAAGAGGGCAATGAATTCAATAGTCATGAAAATACTGTACTGTGGAGAGATAATGAAAACACAAAAGACTATCACATGCTCTAACATTCGGTGGTGAGCCTTTGAAAAGCAATTATGTAATTTTGTGAGTTTTTGTTTCAAAGTCATTGCTGGCAAGGATAATAAAACAGTGTTACATAAAGTGTGTATAAACTATAAACAGAACCTTTATGGTTCTCATGTAATTGATTGTTTTATGATTCTACAATCCTGTGTTGATTCATTATGTTCCCGCAGTTAAATAAATACTCCAACATTAAACCTACAAACATTTTATTCAGCATTCATATTTTTTAATATGATTCTACAATTGTTTGTTTTTTGTCAAATGTTTGGTCACTTCCACTTCCACAGGGCATAAATGTAATATTAAAAAATGCCTTTTTTTTTTTTAGAAACACAGGTGAACTGCTAATGAATAAACATAATCACCACAGCGCTGTTGAATACTCCATTCTGATTAGTGAGAAGGCGTTGATTACTTTTCTATAATAGCAGCTCTGACAATAGTGCCCGTTGTAATTCCATCTACTGGTTTATATTGGGGGGCACGATGGCTTAGTGGTTAGCATGCCTGCCTCGCATCTCCAGGGCTGGGGGTTCGACTCCCGCCTCTGCCCTGTGTGCGTGGAGCTTGCATGTTCTCCCTGTGCTTTGGGGGTTTCCTCCCCCAGTCCAGAGAAATGCATTGTAGGCTTAGAGATTGGCATCTCTAAATTGTCCATAGTGAGTCAATGGGTGTGTGATCGTGCCCTGCAATGGGTTGGAACCCCGTCCAGGGTGTCCCCTGCCTTGTGCCCCAAGTCACCCTGGGATAGGCTCCAGGCCCCCCTCAACCCTGTGTAGGATAAGTGGTACAGAAAATGGATGGATGGATGGTTTATATTAGTGAGCTTGTCCTAGTGCTTTATTATTTTTATACACAGAGACTTGTAAATGAATTAAAAAAACCTTGATTTTGATATGATATGATAATGTTTTCCGTGGGGAGATGGCTACTTAGCATTTTTGGAAGTCCCCAGTGTCAGCTTTTATAGCTTTGTAAAAGTCAGAGGAATTTTGTTTGTTTGTTTGTTTGTTTTTGTTTTATCGTCTTAGAGAGAAAAAAGAGAGGCTGGTCAAGGAAATTTATTTTTAGCTCCTATAATGTATGTGATGACAGGAACTTATTTCATGGACATTCCACAACTTTATATGTATAAAATGTATAACATCATTCATTCAATTTGCTGTAGAGTGTAAGAGGAATAAAACACTTTTGGTGATCATAGTACTTATGATGTGGTTATTTTACCGCTCTGCATTGCTGTGCGGGGAATGTTGTGATATAATGATGTGTGACGTGTCTCTCTAGTGTGTGGAGCTGGTGAGAAAGCCAACAAGCTAAAAGGTTGTGCTTTCCTAACAAGTCAGCTAAAAACATGAAAGGAATGTCCTCATCAACTTACAATGATCCAGAGAGTGCCATACTGTGTGCCATATTGTGGCATTTTGTGGCACTACTAGAGTATTTGCAAGGACCACTTTGCTCCAGAGGACTTTGGAAGGCAGCTGTGCCAGAAACCTGCTGCTGTTTGCTGAAACAGAGCTGCAGTTAAGACCTCTTAACGTTGGTTGTGTTTAATGTTTGAAGGCAAGACCTGCCATTTCCCACATCTACACCAACAAGTTTCCCATCCTCTTCTCAGGTTGGCTTCAGTACAGAAAAAGTTATGAGAAGTCTCGCCTTTAGCTTTCAGCCTCTACATGCACCAATGCTACCAATGAGGTAGGATACTCCGGTTCAAATAAATATCGATTAAGCTCATATAGAAACTACTAGAATCTACTTCAGAAATATGAGACATATTTTTGATATATGACAGGAAGTGCAATGTCTTATTGTGGAAACTGAAGGCCTTGAATAACCAGAGCTAGGATATTCACTGTAAAGCTGATAAAGAAATCAATATTGATTATTAATTATTAACTGTATTATTTAATTTGGGAAAAGTTTTTTGCGCAAGTGCATTAAAACATTTCATAATAACTGAGAAAATAACCTAACAATATGATATTGTTTGTGAAATAGTTTTATGCTTGAAGTAGCATGCAACTACTCTTCTGAAATAAACCCTGTGGAAGTCATCTTTGGAAAAATATACATATATGTGTAATTTATTTAGGTTTAATATTAAAGCATTCCTTTAAGTGTACATTTCCATGTACCGTAAATAAATGTGTACTTGGACAGACCCAAACATGGTGATCTAATATTTTAAATGAGAGTATTTTCACCATTTAATCTACATACCATTTGAGCACTCATGTACTGCACATGATATTGAAAGCAAAAAGTAAAAAAACTAGCTTACCAAAAGGAGAGCTAAGACATGCTCCTGGTATGCTCCATATACTCCTAGGATGGAGAGCAGGATGGTAGCCAATCCAAATCCAATGCTGAAGAGCACACTCTGAGTCCCATCCTGAAGTAAAACAGCATAAATGCAATAACACAATTTCTTGCATATCTTCATACATGCAGATACAAGGACAGAGTAGTTTTTAATCAGTCTTAAATACCCTTTCATTTGGCAAGACTATTTCAGAGATACGGTATCATGTAAAAAAAGGAGTAGAAACATAAACAGTGAAATAACAGTATGAGGAACAGGGCTAAACAAGCAAACTAATAATACTGAATCTGCAAATTATTTCTATCAGTGACGCAGCAGGTATTATTGGTCTTACTTGCCAGTAATAACCACTTATCAGTGGTTCAATCTTAAAAGTGCTTGCCACTATCCCGACCAGGAGCAAGACCACCCCTAAGAACTGAGAATAGAAAGGTAACAGAAATGAATGCACTTTCTTTTAAAAACAAATCATCTGCACAACTATCACATTAAAAAAAACTACATTGAGAGTTAGTGTCTTACCCCGAGCAGAATATTAAGAACAATGCATAGTCTTCTCATGAACGCGCTTCCTTTAGCCATTGTGAGTAGAAGAAAAGGGCACTTGGGTTCCTGCTTCTCGTATGATAAATAAGCAGAGGTCCCACGAGTGTTTTTAATGTGGTTCTTGGCAGAGGTTACGTTGATTCAGTGTTGTTTAAAGATACCTCATCGCAATGTTTTGGTTACACTGGTGGAAAATGACCAAATTTGGAATCCAGAGAGCCTTCACTAGACTGTCAAGCAAATCTTCAGGACATTCTTGGCCACAAGAAATATGTGTTTCGATTGGACTCTCTCCACAACACTGCTACTCCGAACTCTGTTACATAAGAGAATCATGGTAGGTGGAGCTGAGATTTTTTGGGTGTGTTTCCTCACATTATCAGAAAATCCTACAAGCATGGGAGTACATAAACAAACGTTTAGTGCCAGCATTAATTATCCGGTGAAAAGACACACACACACACACACACACTTGTCTTATTCTCCTTGTGAGGACTTTCCACTGACATAATTATTAATGCAGCTAATGAATGTTATGTCTACGCCTAAATTTAAACCTAACCATAACGTCAGTAACCTTAAGGGAAACTTATGGCT